TTTGCTTTTATATATGCGTGTATGTTTTGGGGAAAAAATTTTCCTTGTTTTTCCCAACAAAAAGTGTTTGTGATTTAATTAACTTTTATTATAGAATAGTTTTATGGAGATTTTGAAGTTGTTTTAATTTTGTACAGAATGAAAATAGTAAATGAATCAGAGTTAGATAAGAATGATGAAATAGCATTGAAGCATTAAAAAATAAATAAAGCTTTCGATTTAATAAAACATGATTAATTTTTTGCACAACTTCCAATAATTTTTCAACAACTTTTGTTCAAATGCTACCCGTTTTCTAAAGGATTTACTCACTCTCTTCCATTATTAGTACTATAATTCATATAATATTTTTACGATGATTTAATATAATTTTTATTTCCTCAAGTTTACACAAATTTTGATTTTGGTTTTTAAAGTTTTGAACAATGAGCTTTAATTTGGTCTTTTAAGAGATAATATCATCATGTTTTTATTAAATTATATAGATGAATGTTTTAGATAAAAAAAACTTAAATAACCAAAACTTATAATTTAAAACTTAGAAAATTAAAACTAAAATAAAATTAAATTTGATATGTTAAAAATTATATTAACTCTTTTTATAATGTACTAATGATGAAAATTTTATCTCCAATTTTAATTATAGATTATAAATAAGATTTTATAGGTAGAATAAAAATTAGTAAAATTTAGTAATCTCATAGCTTGTCATAAAGGCTAAAACTTCTGAATGAAAACTTTCGCATCAAATTTACACTTCAACTCTTTTTTTTTTAATGATTATTTGATATGAATTACCAAGCCTCTGGCCCGTTGGATCCTGTTCCTAAAACGCCATGTCGTTTGCTTATGGACTCCAAATTAAACGGCTAACATTGGAAGTAGGAATTGAAAATAGCCTCACTTCTTGAAATTGCACAGGAGAAGCCCGCCTCTACAAATCCGACGATAAATTCAAAAATCCTCGACGGAGCGAAGTCGCAGGGAGGGAGAGAGATGCCACTGAATGAAGTGAACGTGAAGTCGGAGAGGAAGCCGCTCAGGAATGTAACAAACAACTATGGTCGGCGATCCTTCAAATCTGCGAACGTGAAGACGGTATCTCAGAAGCAAAAGGAAGAGACTGCTAAAGAAGAGAAAGAAGATGACGAAGTGCTCGATCGCATTCTTCTTGTTCAGTCCGATATTTCCTCTATTCTTCATCAGGTGTCTGTTCAATCCAATTGTAGTTTTTTAGTTGGTTCTCTAGATCTACAAGCGGTCAGAAATAAATTTGCGTCGTTTTTGAAGCAACCAAGTCATTAGGACTTATGGTGGCTTTGTTTACTGCAGTTCTAGGGCAACGTAATATTACTTAGTTGACCGAGTTTGACGGATATGAAGTTTTCATGTTGAGAAGGGAACATAGGCATGTTTCTAGTTGGAATTTTCGGTTATAGAGAAATATTTTTTTAATTTTGGATTTCATTTTCTTCCTAGCCGACTACTTTTATTACACTCCTATTACAACAGCCACTTGGATAGATTATAAATTGAAATCAACTAACTAGCTTGCTTTTTTTGGGTGACGCTAGCTAGCTTGCTTTGTTATCCAAAATTTTCTATTTGTCCAAGCAGATGGATCTTCCTAGATTCGTTTGTTGAATACGTGGTGTCAAGGCTTTAAACTATGCGCTAAGAATTTTGCCTTTTATTTTATTTCAATGAGAATTTCAATGAGAATTTTCACTAGTTATTGATAGGTGTTGTTTCTGATTACAGCCATGGGAGGCCAGGTTCCAGATGGCACTATCTACGACCTTAGAAGAGTCTGAAAGCCAGCCTCAACAGGTCTTGGCTAAAAATCCAGTATCTAACGAGGTTAGAGATAAAAGTAAAGTCAGTGACAGTACTGAGGAGACCAATTTGGACTTTCTGGTTTCTCCATCTCCTCTCGTGTCCTGGCGGGCTAACTGTACCATTGAGAGAGGTAGACAAATGTTTATGCTCACACCACTTCCTATATCAAAAGCATTATCATGCAAACGTTAGGAGCCATCTAAATCAGAGTTCAATAGGTTATCTTCCTCTACTTATGCTTTTGGGACATCAGATATTTTTGCCTTATCTGGAGATATACCTGATTGCTCGTTTGATGCTGCTGTGGCGAAGCCAACTCCACTCAAACCTTCTGCTCCTGTTGCTATTCAAGGGGCGAATGCTCAAGAAAATGGATTTATTTTTTCCCCGCTTTTTCCTATAAGAGAAAGCTCCATGCTTGTTATGACACCGTGCTTAAAGATGTCACCCCCTAAATCTTGTGTTTTGCTTGAACCCATATCTGAAATCTGTCATCCAGGCAAAGGCAATGACAAGGTACGCAAATCCACTCCGTTTCCTCTTGGGATTCATTACAGCGATTCAGAAACTTCTGATTCTTCTGGTGGTGAAGCTTCAAAAGGTCTGGCATTGAAGTATCTGGAGCTATTAGGGATACAACATATTTCTAAATCTGCAGCTGGAAAGAAAACGACAGAAGCATCCCCAGACTGGTTTATGTCGCCTCCTAAAACTTGTGTTTTGCTGGAGCCTCCTGATGAGAATTCGTTTGGTTTGGAAAAGGCTGATAAAGGTTTACAGATGACAGATGCTGTTATTACTAATAAAGAAACCAACAAATTGAAAGACAATGTATTTGAAGACCATGGTCAAACCAAAAAATCTTGTAACAAAGTACCTGATCTTCCACTGTTCATACCTTCTGACTTTCTGGGTTGACATGATTTTGGCTTCTTTATTTATTTATTTGTGTACAACACATTGGTGGCAACTTATCCTCTATGGAGAGCACTCTGTGGCTTGAGCCTGAAAGCTCGTTTCGAACTGGGAAATGCCCTGGTGAGAATACACTGAAGTAAGAATTGTGGACAAAATTTGAAGCAGCATCTACCAAGGGGCTTCTAAGTAAAACCCCCACAGTCAGCAATATTACTCAAAAAGGATTTCTGGATCTCCTGGAAGAAGCTTCTTGTAAAGATTAAGCACGCTACAAAAATCAATATCTCAGCAAGCAAATAGATTTTTCTCTCATTTGGAATTTGAAAATGAAAATTTTGGCTGTACAAGCTCATGTTGTAGGGTTTGGAGCAAGGAGGCCTGCTGGCCTTGTGCATTGTGTCTTAATCCTCCACCTAGAAAGATAATTTTGCCAGGGGGATGCAGGACACTTGATGTAAGCTGTGTTCTTGTGCTGATTTTTGTTCCTTCCCTGTTGATGTCAAGAAGAATGGAACGGAACTATGGGAGGTGTTGTTTGGTGCTGCATCCGCGGAATCTAATCTTGTCTGTATCATTAAGCACTCATCTCAAGAATATGAGATGCATTCAACAAGATGTGTCGAACCATGATAGGTGCGATCGTTTATTTGTCGAATTCGAAATCAAAGCAATGGATGGGATGGCAGAATTTAAAGCAGGAAGAATGACACTAATTTCAGTTACTTGAATTATTTTCAATTGTATCTATACAATATGCTATATATTCATATAACAAACAAGTGATAGTTTCAATACAAGACGAGTGATCACCTTACTACTTTTCATGGCAATATACATTATATTATATTCTTGGACAATTATAAAATTCTTGGATAATTATAAAGTTCAACATGTTAGATTATATTACCTTCGGTTTTAATTATAAGAGTTAGTTGAGTAATTTGATAAGATTAAAGAAAGGAGTTAAGTTATTTGTAATAAATATGTACTGTCTTTTCTAAAATATTTTTACTAATTAAATGTATTGATTAGAATTATCATTGTTAAAATGATTACTTTGGATAAAAATGCATAAATATGAAAGACAAAATATATTTGAATCTTATATTTAAGATCAAAATAAAAATCAAAGTATATTAAGAACCGAAGGTAGTAATTAATAAACTTCAGCAAGTTTTTACATCACTCCTACCTGCTTTATAGATAGAGGAATTGAAGTTGCCATTTCCTATTTCTGACAAGGAAGCCCATCCGCCTTCCGCTTATTTTGCAACACTTTTTTGTGTGTATGGAGATAGATAGCTAGATAAATATATAATTATTCATATTTTTACCACTTTGATAGTGATGACATTTGATTTCTTAAGTAGTTGCTGTATGTTTATCTCTCTCTCTCTCAACAAACAAATTTTATTTTTAATTACGAGTTAAGTTTAATTATAATGATAATCAACTTAACTATTGACCATATGGATAAAAATTATAGTGTGCGTTAAAATTGTTTTATTAATTTTTTTTCATAACTAACTCTTATTTTCATAATAATTATAATCTTTATGTCTCTTTGAACCAAAAAAAATAAACAATATCAGTTTATTAGCTCATCATTTTATATGTTTAGCCCGCATGTACAGGGGAAGGGAAAGTAGAGTGGGGGAGAAAATCGAGGGATGTGATTTTTCTTCCTTATACTTAGCTGAATAGAAGAAAAATAGAAAATAGAGGTGAGAAAAAAGTGATTAATTTCATATAAATAATAACCTTACGATCAGGAAAAAAAATTTAGTATGTTTTTATACCAGCTTATTTTAAATGATTTTACACTGTACAAAATAAATATACAAGAGGAGTTTTATTTCACAAAACATAAAAGAATTTTTTAATGACCTCATTAATTTGGCTTGGATTAATGCAGTGAATTTGATCATCATACTAGATCATCATTAGAAATTAGAAATTATAAAATGACGAAGCAAATGTGTTTTTGAAGACTGTGATTATAATTTTAAATACATACCAAGATGATAAATACAAACAAGCTACGTGAAGGCAAGTGGTTGAAAATTTTTGTGTACTGAACAAGTAGCTCAAATTAGGAATCCAGTAAAGAAGGGAAAGTTTATGTAGAACACTATTATTCCCAAGTGTTTTTTTTTTTTTTTGGAAAGTTACAAGACTTACTACTGGCTGGCTCTGTCCTGGCTGATTATTCCGCCTCTAGCACCTTGCTGCATTATACCCTTTCCCGCCGCTCCCAACAAGTACAAAAAGTTTTTCTTCGCTTCACCATCTCTGTAAAATCCCTTTAAACCGTCACAAAATCGTTCTCTTCCTGTAAATTCTGAAACCCTAACTTATCTGTGTTCGTTGTCAATGGCGAAACTTGATCAGCTGACTCGGTACATTGAGTCCTACGTCGACTCGTCTGCTACTTCCTCTCAGCAGGTCTACCCCCTTCTTTGAATTCCCTTTTTACAAAATGAATACTTGTATGAGCAGAGTTCAGTTATACGTCGAAGTAGCATGATTTCTTTATTCCTTTCTTTTTTTCAATTATATAATCATATAATTTTCATTGTTTTCTGAAGAAAATAACAAATTTTCCTCCTTCTGTGAGGAGGATGTGCTTTCGCTAATTGTCTACGTGCATGCTTTTCTCTTGGTTGTTGCCCATTGACAAAGTATGCTTTTGCACTGCAGTTTGCGAGTGTGGACGCAATTGGGAATCTTGTAAAGAATAATGCTTTAACTCTGGAAGCACTGGTATGCTTTTCTCTTAACCCGTTTTTTCCACGTTTATATTTAATTCCATGCGTTCATGCTAGTTTTCTCCCCATTCTTTTATTGCCACTGTTTCACTTAAAGGTTAGAGAGTTGGAGATGTATTTGACCACAACAGATGACATCATTCGTGCAAGAGGTGCGTCTTATTTGTTCTCAGATTGTATGACATTCTTAACTACATAGTTGCATACACACCATATGCATGCATGCATTCAACAATGTGTACACTTTACATATGAATACCAATGCATGTGCATTTTAATGGTATTATACCTGTGACTGTGAATAATGTGTTAATTAGAGTGAATGCTTGAGCATCCTTTGGAAACACATTTTCAGGAATCCATCTTCTAGCAGAGGTGCTTACGCGCATTGAATCAAAACCTCTTGACAAAGCAACTGTTCATACCTTGATAGCTTTCTTCAAGGATAGATTGGTCAGTATAAATATTCCTTCTACAAAATCCATTATGCTTTCGAGGTTTTTATTTGAAATATTTGTCAATTTCTTTTCCTCTCTATCTATCAAAATTTTTGGGTTTTGGGAGGCAAAAGGAGTGCAAAATTCTTTGGCATTGTGCAGTCTTTGCTGGTTTGTGGGGTATTTGGTTAGAACAGAATGTTGCTGCATCCAAATAGATTGGAGTGCATCAATGGACTTGATTGGATTGTATTGATATGGTGGATAGATTTGAGACTATGGTTGAAACTTCCATGGACATGCATTAGAATATTAGCAGTCCAGGCTAGAGTTATATTAGGGAATCATTGATGGACGTTTTACTTATCTGGGCTTACTTAGGATGTTAGTTAGGGTAGAGTTGAGCCAGACTCCAGACGGAGGGGAACCAAAGGTCAGCAAAATGCTTTATTTGTGCCAACTCTACCCGGCAGAACATCTCTGGGTCTGGTAGGTTTCAAACTAAAGTCAAGCAAGATAAATTCAGTTTTCTAAGAAGGAACTTATATTGCTGTCTGATGAAAAAAAAAAAAAAAAGGTCGATTTGGGTCTGTTATAAACTAATAAACTCTTGTTAGAAAGTAAAGACATGCCTTAGGATGGAGATGGAAATATGGATTTACATCAGAGAAATAAAAAGATCCTAATAATATCTAAGACCTATGCTTTTTGGCCTTAAAAAAAGGACCCTCGACCTAGACATCATTCTAATAGCCTGGAGACCAAGAAGAACATAAAATCCCCTTGATCAAGAACTTTGTACCGTTTCCAATATGAAATTTACCAGAGATGAAATATTACAATTGAGTTCAGCAATACAAGTTAGCTCTCCAATTCGTCTACTTGTCTCTTATCTTTAGAGAAGCTCCCTCAAAAAACCATGGGCATAGGACCAAAAGGAGGCTGTCAGCACATTCATATTCCAATTAAATCCAAGTACACGAAAGAACCTTTAAATTGGAGAATTTAATTCTCAAAAGAACAGTAGAGGTAGCATCTTGCCATAAAGCTTTCCTATGTTTACTTTTGCTATGGATTTTTAAAATTGCTTCAACCCCTACCATTTACTGATTGCACGTTAAGACTGGAGGTTAGTACCAAGCCTAACTTTAAGCATCTGCTTCATTTATACGTGTGAAAAAAATAAAATAAACTTTAAGCATTAAATCAAGCCTGACAACCTCTTTAATCGCCTCCTAACTTGAGACTTGCTGGAATTCTTGTTCTTTTGCTGGTTGAGTTTTGTGAGAGTCTGATTTGGCAGTTTCACCTTTCATTTTTTCTTTAACCAAATGTTTACTGATCATCTATGATCTCTTTTAAATGGTAGATAATTTTGTCATCAGTTTTTCCAAATAGTACTAACAACATAATATTGTATTTAATCAGGCAGATTGGAGAGCGCTGCAAGGTGCCCTTGTCGGTTGTTTGGCTATGATAAGGAGAAAAAGCAATGTGGGTATGGTAACTGATAGTGATGCCAAAGCTGCTGCTCAATCTTTTCTAGAGAATATCCAAGTTCAATCTTTAAGACAGCATGACAGAAAGGTAAGTTATGGTTAGAGTGCCTAGACATTGTTTTTGCCCTAGAAACCTGTCCAAGGATGAAAAAGACATTAGAACTTTTTCTCCTTTTGGAGTTTATTTTGATTTTTGCGATGTTATCTAAACACTTCATGTTGGCTTTTGTTGCTACAATATTGCAGCTTTGCTTTGAACTTCTTAATGGCCTGCTGGAGCTATACTCCGATGCAGTTTCTTCATTGGTAGTTTATTTTCCCTGAACACTTACACTGTAACCCAAAAAAAAAAAAAATCCAACAGTTGATGCTTGCTTTTTCATACATGTATTTCTGTTGAGATCTATCTTTTTGACACGAGGAATTATATTTTTACCATCTCAGAACACATTGCCTCTTGACTTTCCTGTAGGGAGAAGATCTTATTAATGGAATTTGTGAAGCTGTGGATGCTGAAAAGGATCCAGAATGTTTGATGCTTGCTTTTCATTGTGTTGAGAGTTTGACACGATTATATCCTGATCCTTCTGGTGTACTTTCGAATTATGCGAAGGATATTTTTGACATTTTGGAATCTTACTTTCCCATTCACTTTACTCATGTAAGCTTAATTTTTGGTCTTATACTTCCATTGAACAGCATTCATTTTCCCTTCTGTTAATTGTCATGAATCATTTGAGCTTACCTTGAAGTTAATATAATCTTTTAATTGCACTTAATGTTGCAAGCGTGTGACAAGATACTAACTTTCTTTCTAAAGACCCACATTTAGGGGTTTATTTATTTTTGTGTTTCTATTTCTTGACCAGCCCAGGGGTGGACATATTGGTGTCCAAAGAGATGAACTGTCAAGGGCTCTGATGGTATGTGCAACTTTCATTCAGACTTTGGGTAACATTTTACTTTTAGGTCATATTTCAACCTTTATTGGATGTGATAATTTAACGCCCATTTCTCCCCTCTTTTCTATTATCAACTGTTTATTGCTTGTCTGTCCACATAAAGGAACATTTTTATTGCTTACTGCGTCTGTGTTCATTCATCTACTTCGAACATCAAAAGTTCTGTTTATTGCTGAACTTTTTTTGTCTAGACTCCAGGCTGATGGTCAGATGAGGTAATTTTGTCACACTAAATTGGCATGTGTGTTTATGATGGATTTTTTATGTAAGTATTGTTTTAATTTTTTTCCCCCCCTTAAAAAAAGTGGCTTGGCAGATTTAGAATAGTTCATCTGGGGTTTTTCAGGAGGCTTAGATATCTCCAGCTGACCTGTAGGTTTTTTAAACCATCAACTTCACTGGTTTTGGCTAGAAAAAGGGCATAAATTCTTAAAGGCGTTGTCCTGAGTTGCTGATTTGTGATGTCTTTGGGGAGGACAGAATGTGAGACTGTTAAATCAGTAGTTTTTTTCCTTGATCTGAGAGTCACTTTTTAGCCTCTCCTAGAGTATGTACTAATGATCTTTTAGGGGATTGCCTTGTGGACATGTGAAGAGATTGGAACACTATATTGAGCTAAAAGTTCTGAAATGTTTTCTTTGTCTTGGGAGGATCACTCCTCCTTCTTGTACTGTTTTTTCTTTGCCCCATATTGTTGTTTCCAATCTTAAAAAATGTTGTTTGATATTTTCATAGATATTATTGAAATTGTGGTGCTTGTATTATATTTATATGTGAAACTGGTGAGCAAATGTTATTTCAGCTTTGCTACTATTATGAACTAATTATTCGACTTCTCTGCAGTCTGCATTCTCTTCCTCGCCCATTTTTGAACCATTTGTCATTCCTTTGCTTCTCGAGAAACTTTCTTCCTCCCTACTTTCAGCAAAGGTTTGTCTCAATGGAATATATATAGTTCTTCCTGAAGTGCTAGATATTTGTTAGTTACCTTTATGCTTTCCTTCTTTCTGCATTAATTTGGTCTTTGAATAAAGAGACATGAATTTTTTGTGCGTTTGATTTTCCATGCTTATAGGTTGATTCCTTAAAGTATCTGAAGGCTTGCTCCTGCAAGTATGGAGCAGAGAGAATGGCAAATCATGCCAGGGCTATCTGGTCTTCATTAAAAGATGCAATATCTACTTATTTGGAAGAGCCAGTTCTTTCTTTTACTTCAGAACCTCTAGTTGGGGTTAACTTTCAGAAGAATGAAATTGTGACGGAGGCTCTATCCCTTCTTCAGTTGCTTATCAAGCAAAATAGTGGTTTGTTAGTGAGCTTGATTGTTGACGATGAAGATGTGAACATGGTTTTCAACTCCATTTCATGTCATGAGAGATACAATGATATTCCTGTTCAAGGAAAGCAAAAAATACATGTTGTTGGTTGTATTCTCTATGTTACTGCCAAGACTTCCTTTTCCTCATGCAATCTTGTGTTTCAGAGTCTTTTCTCTCGAATGATGGATGCTCTGGGATTTCCCATAAGAGAAATCAATAGTTTGCCAAATGATAATATGTTGCCCCTTACAGGAGTTAAGTTTGGATTCCTTTATCTCTGCATTGAGCTACTTTCAGGTTGCAGGGATTTGATTGCGGTGTCTGAGGAACCAGGGCTGAATTGTGATTTTGAGCATGAGGCATTCTGCACCATGCTTAATAATTTTTCAAGTTCATTATTCAATGCCTTTGCTTCTGCCTTGTCATTTGGTGCTGATAATCACCTTCTTGATCCAGATATTTATATTGGAGGTTAGATCTGTTTTTCCTATTTGAGCATGATTATATTCTGACTCCTCAACCTTGAAAACTTGGTTACAGACTCCTAGTTTATTTATTATGTGGTCCAATTACATGGTCTGTTTTGGTTGATTTTGTGTTGTTCTGTTGTCCCTCTGTCCCCTTCTCATCAAGGAACAAACTCGTATAAGATCTGTTTGTTGACTGAAGAGAACTATGTGTATAGTCACATTAGTTTTTTCATGTTGATCTGTAATGTTTCCATCTAATGCAGTGGTTAGTGCTATCCTCTATTCCTCTGATTGATTTGTATCCAATTATATCATGTAAACTGTGAATCCAATTGGGTCAGATTGAATGGTTTCAAATTGATTGTTACGTCATGTCAGTCAATTTAAATATTTTGGAATATGATTTCTTTTACATTTATTTATTTATTGTTGTTATACTTAATGTTTAGATTAGTTGCACAAATTCATATTGCTAATTATTAAATGCACAAATAAATATATTGTGGCAATGCAATTTGGTACTTTTGCTTCACTGCATTGTTTGCTTGTCAAAATGTTATAGTTTCAAGGTGCTGATTTCCATATTTTCTTTGGTAATGATGTGCAGTCAAGGGTTTGGAGATATTGGCTATGTTTCCAGGAGATACTTTTCCAATTACGAAACTTCTATTTGAAAATATTTTGAGGAAATTTATATCAGTTATCACAGAGGATTTCAATAAAACAGTGTTATGGGAGGCGGCATTGAAAGCATTGGTTTGTATTGGATCATTTGTTCATAAGTTTCATGAGTCTGAAAAGGCGAAGAGCTATAGCAGATTTGTTGTAGAAAAAATTGTCAAACTGCTGTCTCTTGATGATACTATGCCTTTTCCACTCAAACTGGAAGCATTATCTGGCATAGGCATGACTGGAGTGATGTATATGCTGAAAGTTCTTCAAGAGTTTGAAGGGGCTGTATTTGCTAATCTGTCTATGATTTTTGTATGTACATAACTCCAATATTTTTTCTGCGACCCTTTATTTCAATAAATTTAGTGGTATCCTCATTGTTGGGCCTTTGGGGTACTTTTTGTAGGTCCATGGGAATTTAAGGTCTACCGAAACTGTTATTCAGCTTCTAGAGTGCTTCTCAGACAAGTTGCTCCCATGGTATTCAATTATACCAGATAGCTTTTACAATATTTTCACTCCTTTTTAACTTTTTATGCAATTATTATGTTTTCTGCACTCTTGTGACCTGCAGATTACTAAATTTGTGATCATTATTGTATTCATCATTGGGCTCTAGGCTTAGCCTTTCATAATAAACTGATTAGTTCATTGCTAACAACATAGGTGATATACGTGGCAGTTCAGTGATGAAGAATTGAATATTCTTGACCAACTATTTACATATAAATATCCCTCCTTTGGAAAAGTTTAACCAACTGAAACTCTATATATTCAATATATTTTGTACCAGAAATAAAAGTACGTTATGGACTGGTAGCTCCCCCCCCCCCCCCAAAAAAATCCCTGGTGTCAGGTTACATCAACTGGAGAGACTCGTGTTTTTCACTGTGCATAAGAGTCTTGGAAGATTTTTTATTGATGTGATTTCGTTTTAATCTGAACATTGCCAGGATCCATGAAAATGGATGTTCTGAGGCACCTGTGGTGCATTTTGCTGTGGAAGTTTGGAATCAAATAGGAATTTGCATGGGCTCTACCGTCCCATTTGAGGAAAAGGTATACATTGTTATGACTAACACGTGTTGGTCAAGCTCAATTTATTTTGTGAGTTAATTTTAATTATATATTGTACTTGTTTATCGCTGAATAGCAATTAAGTGACACAATCTAATATTGATGCTGATTTTTCTGCTATTATCTTAGGGACTTCTGGATGCAATTATGAAAGTGATGAAGCTTGCTGTTGCCTATTGCTCTGTGGAAAGCCAGAATATTATTATTAAAAAAGCATATGACATACTTTCATCGCACACTAGTTTTCAGTTCAAGGAACTGGATAGATCACCTCTAACTCCTGGACAACATGATGTTTCTGATCGAGAGAAACGGGTGGTCTCAATATTTGCATCAGCAGTTATCGCAGTTTGCCCCCAAACATGCATTCCAAATGAAAGAATAATGCTGCATCTATTTATCATAACCCTCCTCAGGGGTGTTGTTCCAGCAGCTCAGGCCTTGGGTTCTATGATTAACAAAATGGTTTCAAAATCTGAAGGTACTGAGACTTCCAGTTATCTTACCTTGGAAGAAGCTCTTGATATTATATTTGACACGAAAATAACTGGTCAGAAATGTAGTCAAATGAATCAAGGACATGATGTGGTTCTGACTGATTTATGTCTTGGAGTTGGAACTGATAGATTGCTTCAACTCAATGCCATTTGTGGACTCTCATGGCTTGGAAAAGGTTTGCTTCTACGTGGTCATGAAAAGATTAAAGATGTCACTATGATTTTTTTGAAGTGTTTATCATTGGGCCCAAAGAGTGCCTTGCCTTTGATCCAAGATTTGCAAGAAGAAACTCCCGTGAAGAATTTGGATCCTTTAGTAATGAAATGTGCTGCTGATGCATTTCATATTCTTATGAGTGATTCTGAAGATTGTTTAAACAGAAAGTTCCATGTCAGAATACGACCACTCTATAAGCAGCGGTTTTTCTCTTCCATGATGCCTGTATTTCTGCAGTTGATCCCCAAATCTCATTCTTCAATCTCCAGGTACAATATCCTCCCTTGCCCCAAAAAAAACCCCACCCTCCAAGAACAACTTAACATACCTGATTTTACGCTATAATTTCTTGTCACCTTTTGAATTCCATGTTCAAATTATTCTCTGCTTGCCCAGCCAGAGGAAATCATTAACATTTTCTAATTGGAAATTACCATAATTTCATGTGGACCAAAATTCTCTGCCTGCATACTTTGCAACGATCAGATTGTGTTGTCCGAGACTCCTAGCTCCTTATTCTTTTGGACCAGAATAACGTTTTTATAATATTGATTTTATTGTCACTGTGGAAGTATGCTAATTTATTTAGCGTTCTGTTCATTCCGTGAAGGTTAAGAAGTCACCACTTTAGTCAATGCATGGTTGTAGGAGATTGATTTCTAATTTAAGGTTTTCAAGTATCAGACTGTTGATGCATCTGGTGCTGCTTTGATCTAGTGCTAGGTGATAATTGCTGTAGTTCATCTTTAATGAGTTCTTGTTTATTTCACTGTATGCGTTCCCTCTTTTTCAAAAGTGGCTTTGGCTTCTGCAGTTTGTCTTTCTTTGTTTTTTTTTTAACAATTTTTTTCTTACCAATTTTTTTTAGACAAGTAGGCTTCGGCAGTTTTCTTAGTGGATATTATTGTGTTTTGAGAATAATCTATGTATGTTTTGACCAAGCACCAACGTCTATCTGGCAGATATTCCTATTTTCCCCTTAAATTTGGTATGCTGTTTGTATATCAACGTGAATTAGTCTAGCAGAATTGCTGAACCAGGCATATGAAAAATGGAATGACTTTGCAAAGATTTTTGAGATAATATCATACTACCTTCGATTTTTAATATAAGAGCTTGTTTAACTTTTATTTTGGTCCTAAATATAAGATCTCAGTTCATTTTGTCTCTCATATTTATCTATTTTTTCCTCAAGAAAGTCCTTGTAATAATGGTAACTATAACCAATATACTTGATTAGTAAGGACATTTTAGAAAAGAGAACACATATTTATTACGAATAACTAACTTAGTTAGTTTTCTTAATCTATTTTAATTCGTCAACTAGCTCTTATATTAAAGACTGGAAGTAGTAGTTTAAACTGTTGAATATCATGAATAGATTTGTGAACTTGCTGTTTAATGCATGCAAAAAGCATAGTATTGCCAATGAACTATTTTACCTGGTTTTTCTTTTGTATCTTTTCCTTCCACGACAAAATGCTTACACCCAGGCCGTTATCCTGCTCAATTTCAGGTCTATGTTATATCGAGCTTTTGCTCATATCATATCTGATACTCCACTAATTGTAGTATTGAATGAAGCCAAAAAGGTTAGTTTCAGAAATTTGAAACTAGGTAATTTAATTACTTATACACATGTTGAATTTTATTGATCACCCCCTTTATTATCGTAATTCCTGTGCTAATTTTGCAGCTGATACCAGTTCTCCTGGATTGCTTGTCCATGATGACAGAGGATCATCAAGATAAACATTTGTTGTATGGTCTGCTGCTTGTTTTATCGGGGATCTTAACTGAGAAGAATGGTAGTTCCTATGCTTGTATCTTTATTGCTGCCCATAAAATATTATTGAATCAGTGACCTGCGAATGCCACTCGTTAATTTACTTTGCCCACTCAACAAGGGGTTATACATTGAGACTAACAAATTGATTTCCATGTATAAATAATGTGCATGCAGGGCATGAAGCTGTTGCTGAGCATATACATATTATCGTCAATGGCCTGATCAGGCTTGCAGAGTACCCTCATAAATCGGTCAGTATTTTATTGTTAATTTATTTGCTGCTGAAATGTCCTGAGCTGTGTTGTAAAGCAATTTTATCACCTGTGTTGTGCCCTGACACACCAGGTGGAGTAGTCTAAACATTTTTCTTGCTCTGGATTATGTTGGAGCGGTAGGGTAGACCCGGGCTCCTAGCCTCAGTTATTAATTTATGAATGAAACCGATGTATTTCAACTTAAAAAGAGTGTCCAAAAAATCTCATTTAAAAGACGAGCTGTGCGAGTATGTTTTCTTTCTTACCCTGCCTTACCTCACTGCTTTGCTGAAGAATTTGTCCCAAGTCTTGGAACATTCATATCTCCGTTTCTCATACTCAATCTCCTTTTAGGCTATCACTTTATTGCCTAAAACAGCTCAAAGTCAACGATGATATTAATGGACTTCTCTCTCTCTCATGCAGCTTGTCAGAGAGACGGCCATTCAATGTCTCATGGCCATGTCCGAGATGCCCCATGCCCGTATCTATCCTATGAGAAGACAGGTATGTTTGACGTTTAGCAACATGTTGATTGTTTGGTCTTGTAGAGATGAAGAGTATTGAATTTGTGAAGTGGTTTTATATTTGATTATCACCTTCCTCTTTGTGCTGAACTGTTCGGGAAGATTATCCTTGCTTTGATTTGTACTCACCGGAACGATTATATTAGGTACTAAAAGCAATATCAAGGGCTCTTGATGATAAAAAGAGAGTTGTTCGTCTTGAAGCTGTCAAATGCCGACAAGCATGGTTGGTACTCTAGTGATATACTGAAACTTCTCCTAGAAATGTCAAAACTATGCTGTCTTCTGTTTTGCTTTTTATTTATAAAAAAAAAAAAAATACGTCTCTTTTGAATTTAAAAATATTGCAATGACGTTTCTCGAACAAAATGAAGCTTCGAATTGATAGATATATATATATATATATATAGATATAGATATATGTGATTTTTAACACTAAATATATGTTGAATTAGTATAAAATATTCAAACTTTAGAATACATTAAATTTGGATGTTTTGGGTAAATTTTTATGCATACTCACAATGGAAAATTGTGTTATATTAACTTACATCTCAGAAAGGAATATGTTTTGTATCGCTTCTTTATGGGTTCTTGGTTGATGTTTTCTTGTAGTCATATTTGTTGGTTGACCGTTGACAGGGCGTCGATTGCAGCCAGGAGTCTTCATTTTTAAACTTTTCAGGCGACTGAAACCGTTTTGACCGTTGGTTTCTACCCAGGCGCATCTTGTTCATAGTAAAAGCTGACATCCCATTGGCAAAGTTTGCTTCTTTCCACTGAATGATTTTTCTATTTTCTTTCATACAATTTATTTTTCACTTGTTAAAAGATATTAGTTCTTACACTCGAGCGGATATGTCCTTATCCCTTGTATCATTCTTTCTGATATATTGCGTCGATTTTTTTTTCCCGGAATACCATGTAAGGCTCCTGTACAGAAGAATGCCAAAACTGAGAAACCACTTGAATTGTGAAATTAATTATCCAAGTCTAATTTATATCTTGTCCCCTGCAGATAGTCATGAATTAGTCACTCACTGAACAGTGAACAAGATTTACCAAGCTGCATTGATAGAAAAGATAAAACAAAATTGCGAAATGTAAACTAACAACCGAAGGTTAAAAATACATCAAATGGTTGAAATTTAATGATACCAAGGCAACAACTTATTACACAAGGAAAAATAGAAATCGCTTGTACAACTTATACAACAATGGAAGATGATCACGCAGATGCTCTGGTTGAACTTATATTTTACGGAAATCTCTCGACGTCAGTTGTCATTCCTCATCACTGGACTGAAGAAAACAAACTGGGCACAAAGATTTTTTGATTGGGAGGCTTCCTCCGCAATTCATAATCTAGATCAGCCTCCTCCATTATGCATCACAAAACCCACCAAATACGTCCAGCAAAGCCTGCATTTTAGTTTGTTGTTCGCCAGCCCATGCAGAGAGAATCATTTCACCAGATTTTTGTCAATTCTCACGCTATTGTCAACATGTGAAGGACTTTAGAGTTAGGATGGTATACTACTAATTTTCACGAAAATATTATCGTAGATGATACAATGATATTCTCCGGGCATTGTGCTCGATGATTAACTTGAAACTGCCTACAATCAGGAAGGGTATGTGTATAAATTTAACGGACAAAATTTATAGGATCGAACATGTTGTCCTCCTTTCATTGAAACGCTCGGGTCAGGTCAAACTAACTGCCTGCCGCTAACTCAGCAGCCACATCCTCATCGAGCAAAGTTCGCTTTGAGGCATTGACATTTGCTTCGAAGGCTCATTCAGACATGTCATCCTCCGCTCCACTAGATTGATAATTATCCTGGTGCATTGCAACTCTATGTTGCTGTTCTAGATCGTCATCCATGTCTAAAGCCCTTCTCTTTGAAGAACTGCCCTTTATGTTTGTATAACCCTTTGAAGCAATTACAATACAAGAGTCATTTATTTTAATAATCTCAATGGCTAAGACAAGATTTAAGATTGCTTCAGTGTCATAGTCATACCACAGAATCCTTCCGTTCAATTGCAGCAACGGTTGGCCTTCGTCTCACAGTCACTTTTGAAGGCGCAGCAAATTGCTCAACCTCATCAGTTGATCTTCCCTCATTAGCCCTCTTTTTTCTCAACAAAAGTTTTGTTGGAAGAGGCTGCAGATTAAAATTGGAATAAATTCACAATGACACATCTGAAAAACTAAGTAGCAATATGCAAGACAGACGGATGGTAGAAATCATGGATATATTAGCTCCAGAAAATACCAAATATCGTGCTTCTGACTGTTCGAAAGAAACCAAGTATGTTGCAGGGTCATCTACATCATCACCCCGAACCTATTGAGGTATAACAACAAAATTGGTGTAGTGTCAAAAAAGGAAATTCTTTTAGTATAATCAAAATAAATGATAATAGCATCAATTTTGACATTTGCTACATACATCCCAGAGATATTCTCGAACCCAAGAATATGAGATATCTTCAGTTTCATCATACATATCCTTTGGTAGCTGCCATAAAAGTCAGATACAAAAGTCAGCAGCTTCAAATATATATAAATATATATATATATAGGTATCCAAAAACTGAAATGTGAATAAAGCTTATTAATGCAGAGGCTTGTCTACCTCTCCAGGTGTTGGGACCATGTATCCCAAAAATTTCTCAGGATTTGCATGATCTGCACCCGTTGCAACATAACTTTTCATAATTGCCTGTGAGAATGGATAGGAGTCAACATCCAGCACATTCAGTAGTCATCACCACAAATAATCAAAACACTTTAAGAAAGTATCGAATGCGCCTTTGCATGAAGGATTAGAAAATAATCAATGCCAATCTGGCTTGAGTAGTCATCATAACAAGAAAGACTGAAAGCAGATTAAGTCACCACAAATTACAGAAAAGGGTGATTTCAAGATAAGATGAACTTATGGCAATAAAGCACCCACTTGAGGTTTTGTTCACAAACTTGTATATTATGATGTCCTAACAAGTCCCGTGACATGCAAGAAAATTATAACTATCAACATGCCCCCCTTTGACAGCCATTATAATGTCACGTTTGGTACGAAGCATTGAAAATGAGAAATAAGAATTGGGATTAAGAGTGAAAAACTACATTAAAAGAGTGTTTAGTATAAGTAATTGTTTGATACTTAGGATTAGACAAGTCCACATATGTGGGATTGGAGAATACCACGGGAGAAGGTGGTATTCTCCAATTCCGTTTACATGCGATTGTCTAATCCCATGTGATAAGAAATCACTTATGTTAAACATCTTTTTAACACATGTTTTCAATCCCAATTCCAATCCTTACTCTTTATTTTCAATGCTTCGTACTGTCATGGAACAGCAATATCATCACTCAACTTCAATACCAATGACCAACAACAGCAAAGCAGTTTAGTAGTAAGAGGTTTGAGATACGGCGGCATATGGATTGTAAAGATTGCCATGTGACTACAAACAAAAAATTCTTCCCTGTAGTACAGGGACAATAAGACCCCGAGGCCAAAAACATTTTTTGTACTACAATGAGTTGTATGTATCCGTATGTATTATACCAGTAATTCAAATGCATATTGAATGTATCAGTAGATAATTCCACAAGACCTGTGAGGTATGCAACTACATGCAGTCAAACCAATAATGGCTTTCCTGATATTGTCTAGATTTTTTCACTGCCTTGCAAATGTCCCAATATAAAATTTTATTCTTATTTACTATTATAAAAAGGAAAGTAAAAAAAAAAAAAATCAAGAACAAAGATAATAGCAGGATAGACAAATCTCTAAAATCTATGACCAAGATTTAGGCTACTAGGAACTAGCAACAGGTTTGTCATTGTGCGATGGCCTACCCTTGATTCATGGGCATCACGAACAGATTTATCCAACTTACTGTAGATTTCCGAATCAACTGTTGGAGCACTATCAAATGCTGCAACAACAAATTGGTCATCATATCTGCAAAACAAGATGACATACAGCTTAGGTAATATGACCACAAAAACATGCTATGAAGAAGCACCAATTTTTGGCAAATAAATTTAGATTAGGGTTTGCTTGGTTGGGAGGAAAGGAGCAAAGTTAAACTTTCTGAGAGTAATGAAACTGCCACCATATGATTAAAAACTATAACTTCTCGAAAATATTATTGAGCACGTAACTTACTGATTAAACATTAGGGTAGTTTTACTTCCCTAATTTTATTTTTCAAAAAGAATTCAAAAATTACCCTTTATAAGTATTTAATTCATAATTAATATATGGATATTTATGTCTTCAACATGAAAAAACAAATGTAATTAAAAAATAATATTAACTTCTTGGGAAACAAAAAAGTTAAACAAGCAAGTCGGAGATGAACTTCTTGAGAAACAACTTCCCAAAAAGTATATTTCCTGAGAAGTTAATATCCCATCAAATAGGATTGGTTTTTTTTTTTTTTTAACTATTAAAGATGATTAATTGAACTAAGTGACTCTTTAATATGTAATGCAAACAATCAACTGACCCATAGGCTAACATGCCAAGGTACTATTTCTTTCACTGACAAGCATCATTTATTAGGCCATACCTTTCAAAATCAGGCAGCAGAGGCAGAACCTCAACAGGATACAAATTTTTGTTAGTTGCATGAACAGGGGGCAATTTAGCTGCTTCAAATGACGCTTCTATTTGCTTGATTTGTCTTTCCCTGTAACATTAGTTTATTATGAGTTACACCGAAAAAATATCACTGAGGTCATATAATAATTTTCATATTTAAAATTGACATCTGATGGGAAAGCTCAGTAACAGCATACCTATCATTGAGATTTTCCAAAATATTGCGCCCTCCCCTCATCTCTCGAAGTTCTTTTGCTTGTTTTTCAGTTAAAGACTGCAGCAGAACATTATCAAGTTATTACTGCCAGGTAGAATAGTGTGCCATTATTCCAACAAACATGTCCAATACCTGTTTTGCTGATTCCATGCTCAGAGGAGATATATATTGTGTTTTAACAAGCCAAGCAACGCCTTTATCAGTAGGCCTTTCCTTTCTTCTTATGCCGGGTTTTTTAACAGGGGTTACTGCTTCATCATCTCGCAATAATTCTTCATCCTCTGGAGCAAGAGGTGGTCTGACGCTGGGAGGACTACAGGACAGGTGAAACATAATTCATCACACCTAAGTCAGGGTAAACAATCGAAGTTATCAAATATAGCAAAGAAGTTGAGGATGATACTTGTAAACACTGAGATCAAGCAGGTCCAGAGGTATCCCAAGATCTGGCTCCACAAAAAGTTTGGGTTTATATAATTTCTCCAGAGATGTGATTGTATACTTTGAATATCTGCACAATGATTAGAAGATACCAAAATGACATACAATCCAAGAGAAATATGTATATCCTGTAAAGCATCAAGCCAACAAAATGAAGCAGTTTAATAACATAGCATAGCCCAAAAATATCCAAATCCACATAAGCCAATTCCATCCCCAGTCCACATTATAATCTTAATATCTTGTAGGGATTTCGTCTGCTCAATTTCAAGAATGGTGCATAAGTCTCTATAGCTGTTTCTATAAAGTGATAGTGTTCTATTTCCATCATTCATTTTCTCTACGGGGGATTTCACACACTTTCTAAGAGCTTAAAGACAACCTTGTCCTTTTGGACAGCAATATCTTAATTTCTCTCCACAAGCTCCAACAGGAATCAGCTCCACACCTACCCTCACCTTCTCTCCAACCCCAAGAAAAAAGAAAAAGAACAAACAAATAAAAGGAAAAAAATGCTGCTGGGAAGTATAGGTGCAGCACCAATTGAGGAGTGTTTTTAATATGAAAGGTGGGAAAAGCAAATCCTCATTATTGACTCTTTAATGAATGGTCAAGATAAAAAACCTAAAGCAATATCACGTATCCAGGACACCCTCTCTAACCTGCTTGGCAACCCCGCACCCGAAAAAATAAAACCCAAAAGGGCAGAAAAAAGATGTAAAAATCAAAGACAACCACTGACTGTAGAGATATGTATGTTAAGTGCTAAGAAACATGAACATGTTACCTACGACGAACATACAATGTGAAGAAGAAAATAAGAATACATACTGATCTTTTTCTTTCTTGAATGCCATAAGCTTGGGTTGTGCACTTGGATCTGGAAGCTCATTTCGGAATCTTGAATGTTGAATACATATAAGAATGTATCAGTAGTAGAAGGAAATACCACAAAAATGGCACAAAAGTCCCCTTCGTTACAACAATTACAGTTTCCCGCGTTATGAATTAATACTGACACTCATATGATATAAATAAAATTAAATTAAACATCATTTAAAAAAAAAAAACCATAACAGAAAAAAAAATTTTAAGAACAATATATACGGAAGAATCAGATGTTTTATGTCTACATTGATGACCAGGTAAAGCAAGAAAAATGAAAGAAATATTGAAACACGGAAAACATATCAGCATACTCACTTCAGCTTGCACAAAAATGTCGTGGGCTTTTTCAACCTATTTTCAATCCTCTCACCGCTCAGTAGCGGAGCAGTTCTCTTTTCACCCATTCGCGAGCCTACAATTGAACCATGCCCCTTCCCAGATGACAAAATCTGGGTCTTTTGCAGAACACTGTTCTGTGATTCCTTCAGTTGCTGCCTATGCTTTTCTTCCTGCCGTTGCTTCTCAAATTCTCTCTTTTTCCTCAGCCTCCTTTCCTCCTCTGTCTCAATCCTCCCAGGAGGTCCATTTGATTTCTTCGGTGGCATTGCAGGAACAGCAGGCTTCTGCTGTTTATGAGGCATCCCATGCTGGGAATGCTCATGATCACGCCTAACAGATGGCACAGGCCCTTTGTTACGGTCGTGGAATCGCCTATCATCCTTAATTTGATGATGTTGTGGAGGAGCTGCAGCTGAAGGTGGTGAACTTGGGGGAGGTGGAGGTGGGATGGAAGAACTTGGTGGCGGAGACAGAGGAGGTGGAGGTGGCTGCTGGTCATACTGAGGGAACTGACCAGATGGATAATACATAGGAGGATGTGATGGAGGCTGCAAGTTAGCTGAATTTTGTTGCGGCATTGAAGGTGCTGGTGGCGGAGGAGGTGGTGGAGGCGGGTAAGAAGTTTCAGGCGGTGGTGGAGGTGGTGGCTGATATGGATACTGCTGATGGGAAGGAGGAGGAGGGGGAGGAGGTTGTTGACTTCTTGGAGCACCGTAATGCTGTGAAGAAGAAGATGATCCATATCCACCATGATGATAATTAGAATTTGGGGGCATTTGGGCGTAATTTTGGGGAAAAGAAGTAGAAGGAGCTGAAGGCATATTGCCATCGCCTCCACCATAGCCCCAGCTTTGATTGTACTGATTTCCACGTTGTTGTTGAGGTGGATGTCCCGGTGCTATAGGATTTTGACTCGGAGGTGGACCATACGACGATTGCGGCGGAAAAGGCCTGTAAGAGGCCATGGCTGATTCAGGGTTCTAGCTCCGTCAATGAGATTAACAACTATGGATCAAAAGAACTGCAAATACCTTCTCCAGCACTGCCAAGGAAAAAACTTTCAAGCCGATAGGTTAACAAGCTCTAGGGCAATCTCCTACAGTTTATTTCTTTCCCTCCTCCAATCCCCAAATCTCAAAATTCAAGTTGAGCAAGAGTAAGCCCCGAAAATAAAATTATTACCAACAATTAAAATAATAATAATAATTCCAAATCGCAAGCGCGCCAGGACCTCTGAAAAATTAATAGACTAGCAAGAGCGCAACGAAGTTTTAGTACATAAAACTCAAAAGGGGAACAGATATTCCAAGAAGAAATAAAACTGGGGAATTCAAGCTCTAATTCCTTTTGAAGTCACCTAAATCAAAACGGAAATCCTGAAAGCAAAAAATAATCTAAGTGCCGTGGATACCCTAGAAAGCCTAATTCTAAACTTGCCGCAGATTATGCCGATATCGAACCCCAAGTTGGAAGGAAGCAATTGAGGTGGACGCATATCATATCAGTCGTAACTAAAAATCAAGGAAGAAAGGGAGTGAAGAGCAGTGGTGGAAGACAGAGAGACAAAAGAGAAGACGGAGGGGAGAAATCGGAAGATCGACGGAGATTGACTGCAGAAATCAGAGAAGAAGCACGCAGCGGGAAATCTCGAGTTTTTATTCTGGCAACTCGGCGTTCCTCGTTTGCCGTTTTTTCCCGATTAATTATGCTCTGAGAAACATTAATTGCCTAATTGGCAACTAAAACCCTACTAAATTTTTATTGGAGTATGAATATTTATTATCATTATTATTCCAAATTTTTTGTTTTTAAAACTGGCATTATCTTTTGACCAAAAAAAAAAAAAACTGGCATTATCTATCCCATGTAAACAAGATAGACGATTCAAATTATTTGCATGAGAAAATTACCTTGTAAAATCTCTCTGATGAAATTTTATAATGCTTAATCTAATACGAAATTTTCATATAAACCTTTTTTCCGTTATTTTAGAAGTTCAAGTTTCTTCATTTTTTACCCTTTACTTATCATTTTAATTTTGTATTTGTTTTATTTTAGTTCATATAAAATAATATTTCACAATAATGAAAAGATTATCAATCTGAGAGTCACTTTAAGCGACAAAAGATGTGGAAAAGAGTGTGCGACCTGAAAATAGGGTGGACTTCTCGTTAAAGAAAACAATAAGTAATACTTCCAGTTCTTAATATAAGATTTTGTTTGATTTTTATTTTAGTTTTAAATATAAGATCTCAATCCACTTTGCCTCTTATATTTATACATTTTTTCCAAAATAGTCCTTCTAACAATGATGATTATAGCCAATATACTTAATTAGTAAAGATATTTTAGAAAAGACAACACATATTTATTACAATAACTAATTTAACTTATTTTCTTAATTTCTTCAAATTAGTCATTAGCTTTTATAATTAAGACGGAGGTAGTATTTGTTAAACATTAATAAATTTAAGATAAATATATATTGATTTTTTTAATCCCAAATTTAATGTGAAAACATAATAACTATACTTTGAAGATGTAATCAATCCTCATGATTCAAATAAAAGAAACCGGTGGGTGAAAGTGAAGTGCCCTGCCCTTTATGGGAGGCAGGCTTGTGCACTTTGGGTTAAAAAGTTAAAAAAATAAGGTGGAATTGGCATGATAAAGAAAAGATTGCAGAATTGGAAAGCACGTGTACAGTAACAGTAACGACGTAACGTTTGTAAACGCATGGGGAAATAGTACTGAATGCGCTGTTTCCAAAGGTTAAAGACTGAATGGATGACGGAAGAACGTGAAAGAAAGAGGGACAGAAATTTTTAATGGTATAGGCATTTATACTAAAAAAATATTTGGATAGGTACAAACCTATAGTTTTAAAAATATTTTTACAAAGTAAATATATAGAAAAATTTATCTCGTTTTGTGAAAAAATACTTTTGAGGTGCTGTCAAACACCTCCTAAAGGATAAACGCTAGCATCCCTTTTTTTTTTAATGATACATTTAGCACTTTAATATTATCTTTGGTTCTTAATATAAAAACTAGTTAACTAATTTGAGTAGATTGAGAAAATTTGTTAAGTTAATTATTTTAATGATTAGGTGTTGTCTTTCTTAGAATACTTTTGCAAATCATGTGTATTACCTATAATGATTATTTGATTGAATCTTTAATATGTGCAACTACTACAAAAGCTACTCTGAAAAAAATGAATAAATATAAAAGATAAGGTACATTGAGATCTTATATTTAGAACCAAATTAAAAATTAAACTAACTTCTATATTAAGGATCGGAAGTAATATTCTTTTTATGTATCTAGTAACTTAATCTTATTTTTAATGTACTCACTCAGTACCATAAAAATTAGAGTGTTAGATGTAACTTAAAAAAAATTAATAGGCATATCCATGCACAAGATCCAAAAGAGGGTGATTTTCTCGTCAATTTTTTCGCACTCCATGCATTGAGTACACGGATTGTTTTTGGGTGAATACTGAGTAAGACTATCTCCTATCCTTAATATAAGAGTTAGTTTGATTTTTAATTTGGTTTTAAATATAAAACCCTAATTCACTTTATTTTTCATATTTGTTCATTTTTTTTAAAATAGTTTTTATAATAGTTATACATGTTAAATGTCTAATTAAATGGCACTTAATTAGTAATGGCATTTTAGGTCAAAAATACATATTTATTATAACTAACTAATTTTTTTAATATACTGAAATTAACCAACTAATTTTTATATTAAGAACTAAAAGTAGTACTATTTTTATTTTTAACATAAACATCAAACAGTTGAAAAATGAACAGCGGAGCCACAGAGGTGAGAGTTTTAAAATGAGTTGGGCTCCCCTCTTAGAAGCCTAATATAAACTGTAGTCAGTACATTATTGTTGGGCCTATTGGGCTGAAATAACTAAGTCGGTTCTGATATAGCTGGTAGTCAGTACATTATTGCTGGGCCCATTGGGCTGAAATAACTAAGTGGGTCCTCATCAAAACTAGTCCAATTCCCAACTAATGTGCGTCTTCAGCTTTGCCTCAGAAGAAGCACTTTTTATAGTCAAAGCGAAGGCTTTGATCCATTTCATCCAAACCCAAAAAAAGAAACAAAAACAAAAAGGTGATCAATAGCCGAGCAGGGTTCTGAATGAAGCCACTCTCTCCTGCAATTTTAGGGTGTTTTTGGATGGCACTGGCAAAAGTTTTTTTTTTTTTTTGGGGTAGTAAATAATGCGGGGCTGCGACCCGTTTATTTAGTGAATCAAGACGGGAATGACATCCCCGCCTCAATCATTATATAAATGCTTTCTCTTGAGAAGGCAAAAGTAATTTTTTATTCTAAACCATTTTTGCAGATTGAAGTTGGAGTAAAAATTAATTAGCATAATCATTATAAAAAAACTAATTAGCATAATATGTTTTATTTTTGAATAAATTTTTATAAAAATGTTGGTTTAGCATAAACTCGTTTGTATGAGATGAGTTAAAAAGGTTCAAATATGAAGAAAAGCTAAAAATCAAGAGTTAGACAAATTTGCTTCTAAATTAGAAACACTTGCTTATAAAAAGAAGTTTTTTCGGTGAAAAAGCTAATTTCGGTCACGATACTATGATCCCAAACATGCCCTAAGAACATGTTTGGACATCAATTGCTACCTCTCCAATCTCAACATAAGAGTTAAATAACTAATTTGAAGAGATTAAAAAAATTAGTTAAATTAGTTATTTGTAACAAATGTTTGTTGACTTGCTTAAATTACCCTCATTCAATCATGAAAATTGGAACTATACTTGAATGGAAATATATACTTTACAATTAATAGGGATATTTTTGAGAATGCATCATAAATTTAGAGACAAAGTGAATTAAAGTCTTATATTTAAGACCGTCAACTAACTCTTATACTTAGAGTTGGAGATAGTATTAAAAAAAGCTGTGCTGAGAAAACTTGGCTTAATTAGAAAATGTAGTTGTAGTTTTTTCTAACCTCAGAAAATGCAGTTTAACAAAAGCAGCACATGTATTGGAAAAAAGTAAGGTTTGAGGACCAAAATGAAAGCTTCCAAACAAGCATTCAAGAACGAAAATTGAGTTTGCAAAACCGGGTTTGGGTGATGATATATAAATATATATCTAAACACAGCGGAGACAGCTTGCATTTGTCTGTACTGCTGAAAGCCCTATAATAGAGGCATTACACTTGGTATATCTTCTGAAGAAGGTTCTTTAATCAGGAGCGTTGCTTTCTCTTGATTTTTGAGCATCATATTACATCTGCACACCTCTCATCAGCTCTTTGGTGGTCCAATTATATAGGAAGGGTCTTGTCTTTACTTTAACAGGTTTGCACAAGACCAAGGTTCGCGTCTTGTTCATCATCTGGGCGAGATGTAATTTTGGAGATGACACTACCCAAAAAGCTGACATTCTTATACTGCATGATGATATGGGTGAGTCGCAAGAAACAGATATTCTGGAGAAGAAGAAGATGGGCACATATATATTAGAATTTGATGCTTCCAGGAAAAAGAAAACTGACTGATGGATGGATGGATGGATTACTGCTGAATAGCACAGAATAGAATAGGGATCTTATATTTTTTATGAGGAGCTTCGATTCCTGCTTAATTAGATGCTTCGACGACGTGGCTACATATCTCACACAATGGAATCTCACTCTCTCTCTTTCTCTCTGTATTTTTCTGATACAATCATGAAAAGCAGTTCGACATTTTAAGATTCCGATCACTTATGCTTCCCTTATTAACATTCCTGCCAGTTTGAGCCCACAAGTGGATGTATATAACTAGATAGCTATATATATATACATGTACTCTTCTCATCTAATGGAGTTAAAAGAATATCTCTCTGAATAATATATCTCCACATGTTCACTCTTACGTGGCTCCAATCCAACATGGATACGCGACTAGCTAGTGGATGGGTTGATAGTGCAAATTAAAGCTGTATGATTGCTTTTGTCTGGATATATGATAAGTGCACTTCTTATATATAAAATATTAATTCGGTGAAAAATATATTTGAAGTCACATTAAACTCTAATTAATTTAAATTTTGAGTTAAATCCAGCCTAATCAGTAACTCTTCTAAAAGTCTTACCTATATAAATATGAACAAAAGTATAATTAATATGCATTACCCCTCAGCTATGCGGCCAGTAAACTATAGAACAATCCACCTGTTTGTGAAGGCAATAATATAATATTAAATCAAATTCCTTTGCATTTGTGGGAACACGATGAACTATAAAAATCGTAAAAGCTAGGGTTGATGGGTGGAATTCTTATCAACATAATGATAAGAAGAAGCAGAAGGTGGCAGAAATGGAAAGAGACAGAGAAACCGGATTCTGTCTTTTGGGCAAAGAAGCACATTACTGCCAAAAAGGAACCATTCAGGTGGAGAGACTGTGAGTGATCAAAGCCTTATTTAATTAACTTGTCGTTTCATTCCAAGTGTTAACATTGCAATAAAGAGACAACTCTATTGTGAGCAAGAATCTATTTTTCTTTTTAACGTTTTCATGACAATGCTTTAGATTCTTGTCCCCCAATGTTTTCCTGTTTTGGTCACTTAATGATTGATGATTCTACTTTAATCCTTCTTCCATTGGCATCTGCTTCCTTTGTTTAACACCATTATGCTTCTCTGTTTCA